GGGGGAAAAAAAAGAAACAGAAATAGCCCAGTATTTTTTTAAACAACAGCAAAATGACTCAGAATTTGCATTACAACTTATTAAAATATAAAACTACAATAAAGTAGTACTGTGTAAGCATAGACAAAAAAACGGAATTGCACAGAAATCCCAGAATCAGACCTAATATATTTAATATATAATAAAAATGGCATTTTAAATTATATATATGTTATTCAATAAAGGCAGTCTGGAAAACTGGTTAACTGTTGTAAGAAAAATTGTGAGACATCTACTTCATATCATTAACCAACATGAATCTAGTTTAATTCAAAAAATAAATGTAAGAATAAATAAGCAAATTAACATGCACACACATATGATTTAGGGCTAGAGTTCCTTCTAAGCTTACAGGAAAATTTAAAAGCTTTTTATCACAGAAAGGCTTAAAATTTCTGTATATCAAGTTTGAAGGCCTCATCTGAAAGTTTAGATTCCGTATATCAAGTCTGATATACAAAATCTAAATTCACAAAATAAAGATTATGGGTAAAAGACTTTCAATATAAATGACAGATAAACAGTTACTCTTAGTATTGAAATAGATCTTCCACTTTAGTAAAAACAGATGAACGCACAAATGGAAAAAAACCAAGAAGTGTTAAAAAAAAAAAACAAAAAACATGAAATGACCAGTAAATGAGTGAAAAATACATAAACTCACCAGTAATGAAAGTTCAAAAAGTAAAACAATGAACTGCCACTTTTCACAAGAACTGGCAAAGATTAAAATACAATTAAATTGCACAGCACTGGCAGAAGTTCAGGTATACAGGCACTCTCACATACTGCTGCTGTTGTTATATGTCCTCAGGTCAATTCTGACTCATAACCATCCTGCAGGACAGTAGAATTGCCCACTGAGTTTCCTAGGCTGAAATCTTTATGGGAGATTGCCAGGTCTTTCTCCTGCAGAGCTGCTGATGGGTTTGAACCGCCAACCTTTTGGTTAACAGTGGAGTGTTTAACCATTGCGCCACCAGGACTCCTTCACATATTGTACTGAGATGTAAATGATAAACTCATTTACAACATTCCTGAAGGGCAATTTGGCAATGTTCGTGCAAAAACGTTTGAAATAGTCACACCTTTGGATCAGTAATTCCACTCTCAGAAAACATCTTAAGGAAATAACCAGAACTATGGGCAAAGTTTCCAACATCATCACATGTTATGGGTAACATGTACACTTACTCCACATTAGGCACAGTAATTTAATCCTTGACAAATAAGAAGAAATCCTAATATAATCCCCATTTTTATATATGAGAAAACTGAGGCATAGAGAGATCAAGAAAATTGTCCAAAGTCACGAAACTAGTAGTGCCAGGATTCAAACTTGAGCAGTGTGACTGCCTAACCCAGAATCTTAAACACTAAGATGCCACCAGGACAGCATCAATACCAGTAGCAAGAACTTTAATACAACCTTATGTCCAACAATGGAGTCCCTGGGTGGTGCAAATGGCCAACACATTTAGCTGCTAAACTGAAAACTTAGAGGTTCAAGTCCACCTAGATCTGCCTTGGCAAAAAGGCCTGGCGATCTACTTCCAAAAAAATCAGCCGTTGAAACTCCGTGGAGCACAGTTCTACTCTGACACACATGGAGTTGCTATGAGTTGGTTTTGTAGTGGTGACGCACCTCTTCCTGGAGCTGTAGATCAGTAAGCCTGCTATAGGCAGGAGGTACAGCCTGCATCAGCGCCACTGCGCACAGTTCCTTGGAATTTGAAGAGCGGAGAAGAAAGAGAATGAACCTCACAAGACTAGACATGTCCTCAAGACCTTCCTTCTTCCCTTGGCTCTGAGGATGAGGGAACTCTCCACCAAGTACTACACCCAGGTGCTAGGTTGCACCTTAGTAAAAACAACCAGTTGCCATCAAGTCAATTCCGACTCATGGGAGAGTGAAATTCGAGTCTCTCTGCCTGAGCTGAAGCATTGGGCTGTGAGTACAATAAATTGACACAAAATTACCCTATTCCGCTGACCCTGTGGAGATTTGACTTTATAATCCCACGTGGCTATGAATTCAGTAGTGAATTATGCTGTGGGAAGAAAAAGGCTTTTTTAGACATGCTCTGAATGTTCCACCTGGCATAACTCTAGTAGTGACCTCTTGTTCTCTTATAGCAGCCAGATACTTTAAATACAAATTCTAAGCAATTTTTGCCACATACTCTCCAGTGTTCTGTATTCTTCTGATTTTTCTGAGTCAGTGCTGAAGACAGGAAAAACACCCCCAAGTACATAACCGGGCACAGGAAGCCAAATGCCCAAGACAGACTGGGAATAATTCCTGGCTTGGACAGCCAGGACAAGGTCTACCCTTGGTGACCGGGGTATACCAAGAAAGAACTATACTACATAGGTCAGAAAGGCCCCCATTCCCAGGCATGAGGGTGTATGTTGGGGATGAGGTGGAAAGGATAACCAATGAGGTTCCAGCAGGTTCTTTGGCAGTATGGCATAACATACAGATCACACACTCATCAAATCTATTATTGTTGGCTGGAGGTTGTTTAAAAACCTGAGTCCACTTTTAAAAACTGGTAAATTTCACTTGAAGTCTGTATTACCAGCTTCTCTTTTAAAAAAAAATTCATAGAAAGGAAGATTGGCAGCCCTGGGTCTGCATTCCACACGGCAACCATTGGCTGGACTGTAACATCCACTACCCCTCACGGGTTTGCCACAACCCCCACTACTCCCTGTTGTATCCCCAAAGTTGAGGGTCAGTTGCCATTTTTCATCATAATTGTGCCGTTGATTTTCTTACAGCATAGAAATATCTCTCCGTACCCAAAAGCAGCAAAACAAAAGAAAGATGAAAAGACCATATGCTTCAAGAAAATTAGGAAAAGATCTATTTTCCTCATTTACATTCCCAACCTGAACCCCACACAGCATCTAGCATCAAAGGTATCTAGGTTGAAATCCTGGCTTGGCAACTTCTTAGCTGTGGGACCTTGAGTATGTACTTAACCTCTCCAAGCCTCAGCAGCCTCATTATTAAAAAGAGAATAATACCTACCCACCACCCACCTGTCAGTTTGTCATACTGTGGTGATTTGTGTGTTGCTATGATGCTGGAAGCTATGCCACCAGCATTTCAAATATCACCACAGTCACCCGTGGTGAACAGGTTTCAGTGGAGCTTCCAGACTAAGACAGACTAGGAAGAAAGGCCTCGCAATCTACTCCCAAAAATTAGTCAATGCAAACCATATAGATCACAACAGACTACTGTCTGATATAGTGTTGGAAGATGAGTCCTCTAAGTTAGAAGGCCCTCAAAATACACAATAGCCACAACAATGGACTCAAGCATACCAACAAACATGAAGATGGCACAGGACAAGACAATGTTTCATTCTGTTGTACATGAGTAGCCATGAGTCAGAGCTAACTTGAGGACAACTAACAACAATAATAGTATGTACACTTCATGGGGTCTGAGAAAAGATCTTAAAAGGTATCACACGCAAAGCTCTAGGCACAGTGTCTAGGACATTCTTTGTGTTCAACACTGGTAATCACTATTGTTGGTGTTGTCAGTGGTAGTACTAGCGGTGCTGCTGGCAGTGGTAGCTGGTGTAAAGGGGTGGAGGTGTGCACTCTAGAGAGTCCCTTCTTGCATCAGGAATGGGTTTTGTTCCCAACTTCTGAGGCCAGAGAAGTATGCATACCTCAAAAGAGGCATGGACACAACAGACAGCTGTCTACATAAACTCCTCTAGAACCAATGAATACGTGCCCTAGTTTCCTTGCCTTGTAGCCTCGCACACTCCTGCCAAGTCTGTTTCCTGTGCAGGTACCTATTTACCTGTCTTACTCTGGTCCCTCTGCTTGGAACACCCTTCCAGCCTCTGCCCACCTGGCAAACTCTTACTCACATTTGAAGACTCTGATCAATCATCATTGCCAGGAAGCCTTGCCTGAATTCACATGCAATATTTCCATATCTGAATGTTCTATATTTGTTTGTCTTCCCCACTGGCCCATGAGCCCTTCAAGAACAAGGCATCATCAGCTGTGCCCCCCAGTATTCTGCCCGAAGCCCAGCACACAC